ATTTAGGGTACAGGGAACGATCCATGTTCCGTGATGTCTTAAATTCTTATCAAACACGGAACGCTTGTCTTCTAGCTTTTATTATGAGTCTTCAGCTTTTCAGGAGTCTTGTGTATTCCTTTCCGAGTGCCTCCTCCTTGGATTTCCCCTTTTTCTCTTCAGTTTTCCCATTTATTTTTCCTGTGAAGATGATCTTTTTAACTGAGCACCCTCTCCCTATCAAGTAAATACAACCTAGCTTTGTCTGCTCGCCAAGTTGTTCAGATATTGTTCATCTACTCGAAAGTTTTCCCTTATCTTCTTGTTTCTCGTAGTTTCCTAAGAATGGTCCAATACAGGTTAAAAATTTGACCGAAGAGGGTAAAACGTGACTAGTCTTTTATGTATGAGTGACCCGTGAGCAATTTTTTCTTTCACACATCAGTCAATTTTTTTTTTTCTGATTTTCTGAGCCGGCAGCCTGTTATTGTCAAACGTTAAATGCTGAGATGGGAGTTCGAAATTTTTGGATGCACGCGGAAATTAAAGCCTTGATGACCTCTAGAATAAAATCAAGAGAATTTCTGAATCCGAGGTAATTTGATAGAACATGTGATTAAAAATGATTAAAAATAGGCATCCTGTACAGCTGATGAAAGATCTATTCCTTCCCAAAAAAAAATGGCTCCGTCTAGACTTTGCACACATCTTGGCTATTTTCTCTTGTTTCTCTTCATTGCTAATATTTTGAAAGCAGTCTTAAAACGGGTGTTTGTTGTGAAAGCTGGACTTCGGTACATAGCGAAGCGAGAGGACCGGGTACGGGCAGGGGGATAAGCGAGGTGGCACGGAGTAGAAAAGATATCCTAAGCTTCGGTCGACAGGTCAGTTTCAGCAGTCTGACATAACATGCAGCTTTTTCTATGTGGCTCTTACTCGAGATTTCGTATCCCTAATGACAATAACAAGAAAGTTTAAGACTTAAAACGTATCATCACTCTCTCTCTCTCGTTGCGAAATTTAATACCGGAAGCTGTGGAGTTAAGTTAGATGACCATAAGCTTCGAAAAGGACTCTTTTTATGCTTGGTAAATTTCATCTCTAGCGTTCCTGCTAAAACAGTTGTCATCGTTTTCACCGAATCACCGGATACTAATCAAAAATGTTCTAGTACGTTTATCAGGATTCGTTTGTATAACACCTACGAAATAATTGAAAATGAATCTGCACCAACCTGGTCCACGCAGCAGTCGGGTTCCAGGTCGACCCGCCCACCCGTGGTTTCCTATAAGCAAATATCCGGCGAATCTTTGCGATCAAAATCTAATTGACTAAGCCGCGAAAGTAATAACGAAAAAATAATAACTCGCTTTAATGCAATGCAACGATGCACAACCAGCTTACAATTTTCTCTCAACCACTATCGTCTCACGGATGCTCTCGCCCTCTCTGGTTTAATACAAGAGGTAAGTTCATAAAAGATTCGAGAACTGAAATCTCTGTTGGAAGAGAAGTTAAAAGTAAATTTTGCTAAAAATTCTCGTTGTTAGTTAACCGGATAACGACCAGCCCTTTCATATCCTCTTAATGGCTTTGAAAGGAATTTTAAGATCACGTTTGCAACTATATCCACAATCTCTAACCTAACAAAGGAATGGAAAAAAGAAGAGCAAAAAAAAAAAAAAAAAAAGAGAAGAGAACAAGCACCAGCGCAAATTCACCAAGACATGGATCACTTCAGTTTAGCCTATTCTTTTTTTCCTTCACGTCTGGAAAAGCTCAGATATAGTGGCAGGTATTTCTTAGTCAGAGGATATCAGTTGAACCCATCATCGAAGACCTTTTTTTGCGCTCCTCTCCTCGCGCACGACTTGCACTTGGCACCGCGTTGTGCTTGCCTCCACTCGACTGAAAAACGTAGAAAAAATTACACCTTTCCAACAGGCTACCGGAAATCAAGACTCAGATCAATTTTGAGCCTTTCTCTACCCGTACAACACAAAGTTCAGAGGTTAGAACATGCAATTTTTTTTTTAGATTTTTTAATTGTTATAGATTTTTATGAGCCCTCAGAAGACGACTGTCATCGAATTTTCCTATAAAAAAAGCCTGTATATGTTTTTGCTCGCTTCCGGCCGCCATGTTGGTGTCCCTTTGAGGGGTACAAACACGGCGTCTGCATACAAAGCCTTGTAAGCTTCACACATTTCTTCGTATATCTCCCGCGCGGAACATCGCAAAGACCCGAATCTTTGCGAGTCTGTTCCAATATTCATCTTATTTTATCTCTTTAATTCTTGATATTATTTGTTTAATGGCTTCGATGATGGTGTGACAGTGAAAACGGGCAGTTCTTGAAAGATTATGGAATAGCTCAGATGAGCACGGTTTGCATAACACTGAACTCTGCAGTTTGATGCGTTTGGCGAAAATGTCCACTTTACTGATGTTGGAGGGTGTAAGGTACAAAGAAACTGTGGTGTTGCGTCTGAGAGGGGTCGAATCACAAGATAATTTGCCTTGTTTTATCAACTGAGTTGATCACGTAAATTGACCTCCGTAAAGAGATTCTAAATCTAACGTTGCAAGGGTTTGCATTTTCTCAGAACGATTCGTTTCATCTGACAAAAGGTAACGCTCGAAACATTAGACTCAGAAACTCGTTACGGCGGTTAATTCACATTATCGACTCAGTTGAAAAAGCCGAGTCAACTGATTTGGGGTTTTGTTAGAGGCTGGGATCTTAACTCGCGTCATAACACGCGTGCTCAACAATTAAGGATGTCTGCACTGTAACCCACCAGAAAAAGAACGCCTGGTCGCAAATTAAGCATGAAACACCGGTTACCATAGCTGTATAACTCGTAGTTGATGATGTGTCAATCGATTACTGGACGCCTTTCCCTTTCCTGACCCGACAATAGTCAATTTTTAAAAAGCTAGGGTTCACGTTGAG